CCTCTCAAGCCGCGCTGGGATTTTCTATTTTCCTATTGTTTCGAAATTACGTTCTAATTTCTGAATACCGGAAAGAACCAGATCCATTGTTTTTCAAGATAGCTAAATTATTATTTATTCTCCAACTATCATGTCGATATATATCTCAATTAACGCGGAATGGTGGTGAGCGTCGTCTGAAAAACTGTTTTGTTGCCAATGTTCCACTAAATTTGTTTATTCATTGGTTCATTGTGGGAACAAGGTTGACATGCAAATTTGTCACAGAAGGTAAACATAGAAACATGTCTATCTGTAATGCGTGAATCAGATTGGCTGTCATGGTCATAAGGTATAAAAATAGCGTTTTTTTTCAATAATTGCACATATTGTATACTAGTCTATTAAAATATTAATTACTTTATTTGTTTTGCATGTGGTTATGTAAATGACAGAAATATTTGTATTTTAATGATCCAGTATACACTGGATGAAACTGTTAGTTTACATGTATTTCCATTGGAAATATGCTTCAAATAAAGCAAATACAGTAATTATGATTATTGTCACACCTCTGTATTTACATAATCACTACTCAGGAAGTAAATATAGTAATGTGAACACTGGTGGCCATGTGACACTGTATTTGCATATATATATATGCCAGCAACAAACATTAAATACCAGCATCACTTTTGATACAGGTAGTTTGTACTTACCACAAATCTATCCACAGCTAAGTCAGCTGAATCTATAGACATATCCTGGTAAAGAAAAAACACTAATGCTATTAATACACAATCAAGCAGTTTAGTTAAATTATCTGGAATTATATAGACATTATTAAAGACACCACATCCAGATTCTGGGCCAACATGTAGTCACATGATGAACTATTCTCAATGGGATATCATTTTGGGAATAGTTCAGTAGACTACATGCAAAGGAATGGTACTCTTCTGAAAAGTGTCAAACACGGAAGCATAACCGGAATACAAATTACAGAAACAAATATTTTTGTTATTATAAATTGAAAATGTTGTCGACTGCTAATTTAAGATTACATTCTAAATAGTGTGTCAGCAGACCTTTGTATACAATCTAGATGTATTGACATTATTTCAATGTGTGAATAAGTCAGAACTGCAGACAAATTCTGCATATGCTCTGCAAACAAACAATGGAATCAGTTATTCTATTAGTACAACATCCAGAGCAATCTCATTGACTAAATCTCAGTGCTTTTCACTGTAATTGTATGCTAAATCAAAAGACATTGACTTTCAAAAAATACAAACAGACACAACAATGCATGATATATCATAGAAAACTGTAATGTTCAATAACAAATGTTGTTTATTAATTTAAATTTATTTGAACATTACCTCTGACTCCAGTGGTTGATGAGGTAATTGTCTTTCTGGTTCTTTATATCCGACTGGTGCATCAAACTCCACCTTAAAATAAAATAAAATCATTATTCTATTTATTTATTTTTTATTTGTTTATTGATTTTATTAACAAGTAATGATATCTAGGTTTAAGGCTTTCAAACAAATGTAATAATGTAGTAAGCAAGAACAGACACGCAATATGACTAAAAATATATATATGAATTATAGCGTGAAAAACACTATACAAATTTAGAAAGACACTTGTATACTATTTAGCATATGTACGTATCATTCTACCAATTTTTGAATTTACTAGTGTGTATCTTTCAGTTCTATGATTATTTTATAATTTTTTAGATTAGTGTTACCTTTTAATTTTTTGTGTGTGTTTTGTTGCTTTGGTTGTTAGGTGATGAAATAAATAAATACATAGATGGGACACCCTACAAGTCGGCGGGACACCTTGCTGAATTTTAAAGGGCAGAGGTGGTTGCTCAGCGCGTGTCTGAATTTCAAGTAAACAAATAATGTATTAATTATACACACAATAAGTACGTATATGGTCCTATATAAAACAGGATGCGGCACATGGACCATCACCTTTTAAAGGGTAATAGTGGAGGATACTTACGCTCATGTCACACTCAATAATAGAGACGGCTTTCCCAGGCTTGGTTTCCATAACCAATAACTCATAGTCCTGTCATAATAAAATCATACAAAAGAATAAATTTCATCGTGCAGCAAATGTTAAAATTTTGTGTAAACAATTTCTCTTACATGGGACCCATAGAAAACATGTCATGACGATCGCGTAAATAAAACTTCCATTTATATTAATAAACCCAACGTATAAACAACATTAATCCTGCTGCCACAGTGTCTTCATTACTATTTTATGATGAGAACAATCAAGACTAGAATACTTTATTTTCGCTGAAGGGATGATTTTTTTCCTATATTTCACATTCAACTCATCAAAAATCAGTGAAAATAAATTCTATACAAAACACCCAAAATGCCTTTTCAGAGAAAATTAATTCCAGCTAAAATAAAGTATTTCACAGTATACTAAATTTATTAGAATACTGCTGTGCAGCACTGTCAATCATTCCAACTTGAATTGCATTTCCCTGAATAGAATTCACTAACACCTTCCCTTCTTCTGCTACTCAGTTTATACTATTCAAAAACAATGTGAACAATACATAATAAAGCACTGAAGCTGCATTACTGGTATACACACCTTTTTGTTATACTTAATAGCAACAATATCACCTGTGGTTAGACAGGCAAAACTACGCAAGGCATTTTCCAATCTGTAGGTGTGTATTAATGAAAACAACAAGCAGCAATCAACAATACAAAAATAATATTATCACTCGAGCAAATCCATACAGTTTTGCATGATATATTAACTAACATGATATTTCCCTAAAGAGACATGAGATGAATTTTTCATGAAGATTTTAATCAACAGGGCCAACGTTGTTTTTTCACCACATGGCATATATTTTGGTGGTCGACCCAAAATTGTCCATGTGTCTCTAGGTGCTGTTTGCATATACGTAGTAAGAACGTTAAAACATTTTCCCCTATGAGTACCACAAAGGTCATAGCACGGATTAGGAATAATGAAACAATTGCCAAAAACAACCTGCTCTCTACCAAATAGAAATATCTACCAGAATAGGAAATATCAGTACATAACAATCTCAGGTTGCCATAGTGATACTAAAATGAATACATTTGGAGGTTTCGTTAATTTCTTTTCACACATTTCAGGTTTTGCTGTTTATAACTGCAATATACATGTAATGAAATCTAAGCATTGTGACATTAGCAATATACTGAAAAGGATACACAGCTTTGGGATTGGTTATATCTAAAAAGTCTGATGCTTGTGGTTGAAATTTGGAATACGTTGCAACAGGTAGACTAGCACTTTCAACTTGAACTAATCCACCTTCTTCCAATAATAAATTACGCATCAACTGAAAAAAACAAATCGTAAAAGTATTATTTCCTGCACATCAGTAAAAGTATTGTTGGAACATTCCCTTCATAAAAAATTACCCATAACATAAATATGTTCCTAAAGAATCAAATAGTACCATCATAATTCAAAATAGAAAAACTAATATATATGCAGAGAATTATTCATTTCAGATGCAACCACACTAGCTTGCAATACAACGAATTATACAAATTTGAAATGGGGTAAAGTTACCATAGTGCTTCAGTTTTTAGCAGTAAAAATGAGAGGAAAAAGAAACTGTGCTACTAGGAAGAAGAAAAAAATGTCTGAATTATTCAATCTGTTTCTTACCCAGTATGGAAGATAGATTTTGCCTTCATCCGCAACAAATTCTAAAACACCACTGTGAGTCATTCTGTCTGTTTTCTTATTGGTTAGTTTAAACAACATTGGATAGACAATATTAAGCCTGGCTGTAATGTAATATGTAATTGTTAGAGAAGTGATATCATAATTATAAGTACAAACACAACCTCAATACAACTGTCTAAACATTCAATGCAACATTTACACTATGTTAAGATCATTGATATTCTTCTTACGGGAGTGTACATGCCCATAATTGGGCTGTAGTATTTTTCCTTCAGGCTTTTTTGTCGAGATACAAAAAGTATACAGCAGTGTTTACTGAAATCCACTCAAACTTTGGTTATCGCTGAATTATGACACAGAGTAGCAGCCACCTGTAAATCTGTCAATGGTCTGCATGTAATAAATAAGTAAATAAATAAATAAACTTACACAGTTGATCCAATGCTGATGGTGGCATAATTACTGTTGACAAAAATACACCGGACACATGAATATTCATATAAATATAAATACAGGCATTGCGTTTGGACAATGCCCCTCTTACTCGTATTCAGCTCACCCTTTAAGCCGATATGATGGGTCACAGATGCACAGAGGTTTTCTGTGATGCAACTAGTTGTGCTAATTCACTGGCACATTATTATCATGTTGCTATAGTTACAGAATTTGTAACTTGATAACATGAAATATTTGTAAAAAGAATAGAAATCAAGGACCACAACATTTAAAAAATTTTCTTGAAAACATTTCTCTCAAGCAGTCCACAAACTGACTCAACTTGAATTTAGGGGATTCCATTTTGACTCAGGATCTCTACAAAATCAGTCCTGTTAGAAGGCACACTGCTCATGTTTGAATCTACATATGTAATAACCAGAAAAGATCAGTGTTTCACTTCCAGACCTTTTAAGTACAGCATTTTTAGCATGCTTAGGCACATATCTATAATATTTTGTTGTAGTTTTGTTGACCTAACAGGATATGAGCACAAGAGAAACATTGATGGTGACTAGAGAGAAAATCATTGACACATCAACAGTGATAGTCATCATGAGAAAACTACAATGTGCCAAACGGGGAGCCACATCATCTGCATGAAACCAGACCAGAGTACACTTACTTTTTCCTCCTTTTTCTACATCTTGTCTTTCATTACCAGGTAACATGGACACTGAATAACAACGATACTGGGTTTTAAATGGACGCCCAACATTCTCAAACATATTAAAACCAAACTGTGAATAAAAAATACATTACAACAATGTATTTATCACCATTTATTGTCAGTTACAGGAAAATAATGAAAGTAAACAACACCTCATAGAACAGAATATCTCCACATGTCAGTGTGTTACATTTGTTAAGTTAGAGAGGTTTAATTAAAATAATATTCCTTCACGTTTTAGGATAACACTAAAAGCATGATCACTTGATGGCTGAAAAATTCAAATAAACAGTTCCTTTTGTGTTCCCTCCCATAACACCAAAATAACTGAT